GGATCTTGGTTTACCGAGACCCCAACAGCCGTTGGGGTACGAGACCTCGACACGCCGCGCCGAGCTGCCGGAGTAAAACACCCGCTGAGGTGTCCCGGGATGAAATCACTAGATCCCGTGTTTTTAAAAGCAGAACAAGGGGATAAAATCCTTCATTTCCTCCACCCGGTGCTTCCATCATCCCCTTCCTCCTTTATATTATCACATCGTTAATTTTAGCGGCGTTTTCAAGCAGGAATTTTGGGATTAACCTAAATCGCTCCCCCTAAACCCAAGAAGTTGAGAGTCACAACCCCCTTGATGTCTTTCGCCAGCTCCAATGTGCTGCCAGAAATTAACTCGGGTTTTTTGTTGGTTTTTTTTTGGTTTTTTAACAGAATCCACCCAGTTTGGCAGAAATGATGGAGGAGGAGAGGCACAGATGGGCCACGCCGGCCCCCCCGAGCCCGCTCGACGCCCGGCAAGGAGGCGGCGAGGAGCCCCGTGGCGATCCCTACGTCAAGGCCTCCCTCGTTTTGGGGAGGCGACCGGCCCTCCCGCTGCTTCCCAAGGCCGGGAGGGGATCCAGGAGGTTGGTCCTGAGGAGGAAGGTGCTGAGGCACAGGCCCGACGGGGGAGTGGAGGTGTCGGACGAGTCGGTGACCAGCGACGCCGAGAGCGACGCCGAGGTTTGGGGACTGAGGCAGAACACGCTCCCGCTCGGCACCGGGGGGGAGGACAGCATCTCCGAGGGGGAGATCGAGACGAGCAGCAGCTCCCTCGAAGAACCCCCATACTGGGGGGGCAGCCCCCCCGTTTTCCTCAGGGATTTGGGGAGCTCTCCCGCTCCTCGTGCGCCGCCGCCGCGGCGGAACGACCCAAATCCTTCATCCCGCCGCGGTTGGAACCGCCGGGGGGAAACCGAGGGAAAACGGATCGAGTGGCCAAATATTTGGAATATAAACAGGAATGGGAGAAATTCCGTCTCCCCGGGGAGGATCAGCGCCACGAAGTGCGCTGGGAAATCCGGGAGCGGATGCTCTGCCAGCCCCAGCCCCCCGCCAGGCCGCGGCACCTCCACGTCCCCAATCCTTACGCCGTACCCACCGAAAAAAAGAGGGCTGCCCTGCGCTGGGAGGTGCGCTGGGACCTGGCCAAGGGCCTCCTCCCTAGAAAACACACCTCCTCCTAGCTCCCCAGCACCGCATTCCTCCGTAATTTGGGGAAAAAAACTCCTGTTTTGGAGGTTTTATGGAGGCCGTGAAAGGTTTGTTAGGGGTCCGCGGGTTAGAGGTGTCTCTGTGTCCCCCCCGGCGATGTCTGTTATCCCAGAGGTACCCCGGCCCCGCCAAAATGTGGGCTCCCCTTGCCTCGTTTCACCTCGTTTTTAAAATAAATGAGTTTTAGGACAAAGCAGAAATAAATAATATTATTTTTCAGCCGTGGGGATGGGCTGAGGGATGGGGCAGCTCCTGTGTGGGAAAGGGTGTCCCCCCCCCAAAACCTCATC